GGTTACAAGAAAAAGTAAAAATAAAAAATATATGCAATATGGACCCAAATGCTCTAAATAACTTCTTTGTTTCTTCTGTAGAGGATAATGGTAGCTCTTCTTCAGTATTCTTTGATATGAATATTGTTGACGCTAATGAAGGCTTTAGTTTTTACTGCGTCAGTGAAGATATTGTTTTTAAGAATTTAATGAATATTAAGTCTAATGCTGTTGGGCTAGATGAAATTCCTCTTAAATTCATAAAGCTCATTTTACCATTTATAATATCTCCATTAACTCATGTTATAAACTATTGTATTACTACCTCCCTCTACATTTCCAGTGGCATGGAAACAAGCTAAAGTTATTCCAACTGAGAAAAAAGTTAATGCTTCATTAGTTTCTGACTATCGACCTATCAGTATTCTTTCTTCTCTCTCCAAAGTGTGTGAGGCTATAATGTCTGAACAGATTCGTAATCATCTAAACGTTTTTCATCTGCTATCTCCTTATCAATCTGGTTTCAGAAAAGGTCATAGTTGTGCGTCTGCCTTGCTGAAAGTCCTTGAAGATATTAGATTAAGTTATGATAGGGATTTGGTTACTTACTTATGCCTTCTAGATTTTTCAAAAGCATTTGATCGAGTTGATCACGCTTTGCTCTGTAAAAAGCTCATAAATAAGTTCCACTTCTCCAGTTTAGCTTCTAAATTTATTTTTAGTTATTTAACTGAGAGATCTCAGTCAGTAGTTACTGATAATAAATTTTCAAATTTTAAACTTCTGTTTTCTGGGGTTCCTCAAGGATCGATTCTTGGGCCATTGCTATTTTCGATCTATATTAATGACGTTTTCTCAGTATGTCAATTTTCGAGGCTACATGGATATGCCGATGATATACAAATGTATTATTCGTGTCGGAGTGATAATTTAAATGACATTGTCACAAAGATCAATATAGATTTAACATGCATACATCGCTGGGCGGTTGAAAACAATATGCTGCTAAATGCAGATAAAACCATCATATTGCCGCTTAGTAGGTCTGAATTAAACTTAGACGAATTACCATCGGTAGCTATTGGAAACTCAATTATTAAATATAGTGCATCAGTTAAATGTCTAGGATTTAATTTGAATTCAAAGCTACATGCCTCTGATCATATCAATCATGTCGTTAGGAAATCATATATTTGCCTCAGATATTTGAATTTATCTGCTAAGTATACCCCTGTCCATGTCCGTGGCTTATTGGTCAGACAACTAATATTGCCTATAATTACTTATGCCGCGTTGGTGTACTGTAAACTGGACTACGAGTCCCTTGCTAAACTGAGAACAGTAGTAAACTGTTGTACTAGATACGTCTACGGCCTTAAACGTTTTGATCATCTAACAGTTTATAGAAACGCTATACTGGGTTGTGACATTGAGCAGTATTTAAATATTCGAATCTGCCTATTTCTGTTCCAATTAAAAACTTCTAAATATCCTGAGTACCTTTATAATTGCTTGCAGCCTATGCGTTCCACAAGATCTCTTCTTTTCATAATTCCAAGATTTAATTTTGTTGCTACCACTAGGTTTTTCTTTATTCATTCAATTCGATTATGGAACGCTTTGCCAAGTTCAACCCGAAATGCATGTGATTTAAGAGTTTTTAAAAAGTTATTGTTAACTGAACTTATTTGATATATTATTTTTATTTTAAATTAAATGTTAATATTAGTTTAATTTTTATACTTCCTTTATATCATATAATAATATCCAATTTGAAATTATAGCAAAATTGTATTTTTTAACTCAATTTTATTATTTTCTACTATTTGTAATTTTCAAAATAAATTGTACTTGAATAAATATCTTGTTAGCTTTTAAGTTAGTTTTTAAGATAGTGCAATAAAAAGCATGTACTTAATGCACTTAATATTATAAATAAAATAAATAAAAAATAACCTTACCCTATAACATCCATTAATTACTCTACTGATATATCATAGGTATACTTTAAAGCTTACTGTGATTTAATTATATTGCACTTTCACCAAACCTACCTTGTCATAAGTCGTGAGCGCGTAACATTTAGTTCTAGTTCTAGTTAGTGGGCCAAAAAACCCACTTTCCTAAAAATCTGATTCTTCTAGAGGCTAGAGCTGAGTATTCATGGAGAAAATACTTAATTGTTTCTTTATTCCTGTCAGTTTTCACAACTTTTATAACAAGTATTACAAAGAATGCGCAGCTTTTCTGTGTGGGTGTATAAAACCAGTGAAGAGACAGGACTGTAGTAAGCTTTTCAGTATTCACGCGGTCCCTTTTTTCAGGTTCCCAAGATCTGATCTTGTTATATGAGGCCATGTTAATCGGGCTCTTCTTCTTCAGATACAAAAGAACTCAGCCAAATTCTATTTAAGCTTTTCAGCAATCTTTGAACTATACTAAGCTCATCTAATGACATCAAAAGTCATTCTATGCCCCATTTAATAAAAATCATTTATAATACACACAGTGTTACTTTTCTTTTGTATTTTTATGATAACCTTTTCGCCACGTTTCAATCTTAGCAGCCTTTCTTACAAGTTCTTGCTAGTCTGCGTCTCAGATCCCTTCGAATAACTCGCCCTATACTTCGATGAGTGGTATTCTGATACCTCCATCATGTTCTATAACTGTGGCATAATGTTATAGAGAGTTCCTCTATAAGTCTGCAATCAGGATGCAGCCTCCACAGCTAACCTACTTTCAAACTTGCGCAATAACACTATTTCTCAGTATTAACCCTCTTTGTTTCAATTCTCCTCCATTAATTACTGCAATAAAGTTTTGCACAGTGCTCTTCGGATCAGTGGTGATTATCTTTATCACTTTTCATTCCTAAGAGTTGGTTTTTGTAGGTTAAGGTCTTATAATGTAATCATAAATCCGTTTTTATTTATTTACTAATTTGTAGTGTACTTAGGTACATGAAGTGTAATTAATTTTGAGGGTACCTATAAAAATCCCAATATGCGTCGCCTCATTAGGGCGCATATATTTCAATGTTAAAGCTTAAAAACTTTAATTAAAATAATTGTTTAAATAAAAATGTGTAATTATTTGTTATTTATAATTATTGATTTGCTGTTCTCATTTATTAGCTTTTAATTAAGCTCTAAAAGCATTAATTGTTTTAATTATATGAAGCATGAAATTATTTATGACAGCCAAAAATTTAAGTATGTGTGCATTAAAATTCAACACAAGTGTATTAATTACATTAATTGAGTACTGAAAATTGATATTCAAATGAAGTTGTCCCGAACCAGCAACAACAACAACACAACAGCAGACGGCCGATTGCCGACTTTGTAGTGCGTCATGTATTTCTCTCTTTCATGTCAAATTAATACATAAACCCCAACACACAAAATCAACGCACGTCAGAAAAGAATCAGAATTGAAAAAAAAAAAATAAAAAAAATACTAAATATAAAGAAAAATATAAAGCAAGAATAAAAAATCAAAGAGCACATGTAATCAGGCTTTAACTGACAAAAGAGCGAAATTGCTAACCTTTGTAAACGAACCCCACCCAACGTACGTCCAGGCAAGAGTCATAAAGCAAATTAAATCACAAACTTACAACTAATCAAGAGAGCAAGCAACCTTACATTACAACTGAGCACGGCTGCAAAGGAGGCAAACAAATTAAGCCAACATAAAAATCGTTGAGCAAAAAAAAAACAACAAAGAAAACAAAATAAAAACAAACAACACTTAAACAAAAGAGAGCGCAAACGACATATCAACTAAGAAAACAAACAAAATCAAAGTAAATTAAGTAAACAAATCAACAAAAAACAGTCTTACTCTTTACGCTAAGCCATTTTCCCAACCAATGCGAGAAAGGGATACGTGTTATTACAGAACAGTGCAACTATAAGTTAACCACTCCTACTTCATTGTATATAAGACACACACACTTCTATAGTACTCTGCTATGTGCATTGCGTGCAAAAGAGAGGCAAATAATTGCAACAGAGCTGTCAACTGACTTGACAGCTGCTCACATAATAAAGTCATATTCTACCCTAACAAGGCACAGTGTACTTTGTTTTTGTTATAACTATCATAGTTTTCTTTTTATTGTTGTTGTTGTTGTTGTTGTTGTTGTGTGTTTGAAAAACCGGTTTCTTGCCATAGTTTACTGTGGCTGATTCTGCGCCCAGTCAATTTTCTCATACAATCACAATACAGCTTGGCAAATATCAATTTCAATTCTTTGCTGGCTCAGTGGTTTGTTGAGTTGCTGTCAGATTACAGGTGACATTTGTGAGTGTCACATCGTCAGTAAAATCGTCTTATACATACGACTCGTTAGTTTGCAAATCAAGCACAGTCGCCACACTGCCAGCATATAAGCCTCGTACAATTATGGACGGAAATTCGGAACTGTAATTTGTTTGTTAGTTCAGTCAACATCCGTCATTGTAATCGATCACAACGTATTGCTGTCAGTCAGTCAGTTATATTAGTTGATCATACATCGAGTTACTCACACACATCGGCTTGCCTGCTTATTATTTGTGCACGCTGTTGTCTCTGTCTAATTGCGTACTTGAGTTTGTGTGTGTATGCTCGTTCGTTGGTGGTTTAACAGTTCAATTTCGAGACTACTTGCCTCAGTGAGACGATAAGCAGCTGTGATTAGTTAATTTACTCGTTGCGTTCGCAGTGAACAGACGTGTGCGTCGCAGTCGTTAGTGAGTACCAAGCATAAGAAAGTAACGAATAATTTAATTAAGCAATCACTAAAACAAACCATAACAAAAAATAAAACAAATATTTAAATAAAAAATTTTTAATTTTTAAATAGAGTTAACAAAATAATTAATAGTATTGTTTTGTGAAAAATAAATTGTGCAGTGAAATTTAAAAAAAATAAAAATTATAATAATTTAACCATAAACAACATTAAAAACGTTTAGTGACGAGTGTGCAAATAAACAAAGAACAAAAAAAAAACAGTTTTCATACACAAATTAAAAATAAAAAAAAAATTATTTTTACTGCAATACAAATGGCCTTAGAGGATCGCTGCAGTCCACAATCAGCACCGAGTCCACCAGGTTTACCGCAGTCCCCACATTATCAAACCGGCGCTACAATACTTGATATGAGCTTGCATCAACCCGTTACACAGAGTCCAACACATACAACCAACATGTTACCACATCCCGCCGCAAGCCTTTATCAACAACAACAACTACAACATTTGCATCACCTACAACAATTACAACAACTACATCAACAACAATTGGCAAATGTTGCAGGCGTAGCCTTTCAACATCCAGGCTTCGAAGCGGCTAACCATGCGGCAGCGTTACAACAACGTCTTGCCGCTTCACCTGGCGGTCATTCAGCAGCTTCCACACCCACCTCAACTGTTACAATCAAAGAAGAAGAAAGTGATTCCATAATGGGTGACAGCTTTAATGGTGAACATGAACATATGTTAAATACCGCCGGCACTGCAACCGAAGATGAGGATGATGACATTGATGTGGATGATGTTGATGATATGCATACAAATGCCAACGCTGCTCGACTACCACCGCCGGCACATCAACAATCCGTGAAACCAACTTTGGCTTTCTCGATTTCCAATATTTTAAGTGATCGTTTTGGCGGCACTGAGGGTGCCAAATTGTTGCCAAAACAGACGAATCTCAACAGTTCGAGTATCTTTCGACCCTTTGAAGCTGCACGCGCCGCTACAGCTACACCTTCCGCCTTTACACGTGTCGATCTATTGGAATTTAGTCGACAGCAGCAAGCAGCAGCTGCTGCTGCCACCGCAGCTATGATGATTGAACGTGCTAATTTCTTGAATTGCTTTAATCCTGCTGCCTATCCTCGCATACATGAAGAAATTGTGAATAGTCGTATGCGTCGTAACGGTGTCATTCCTCCAAACAGCGGTAAGAATATTGAGCCAAATATGGAGAAATCAGCTTTGGGTTCACTTTGTAAGGCCGTCTCACAAATTGGTCAATCTGTGCCCACTCCAGCTACATCTGCAAATTCCAATGCATCCGCTGCTACAACATGTATATCCAGTCCGCCACCTGCATCGAATGCTTCAACTATCTCAACTGCTTCATCAAGTACTTCCGCTGTTAGTTCCTTGAACTCATCGCCTACAAGTCGTTTGCCAAGCAAAAGTAGCAGTCCACAACCTATACCGCCGCCATCGGCTGTTAGTCGAGATTCTGGGATGGAGTCATCAGATGACACACGCTCCGAGACTGGCTCGACTACAACAGAAGGTGGCAAAAATGAAATGTGGCCAGCGTGGGTGTACTGCACGCGTTACAGTGATCGGCCAAGTTCTGGTAAGTTAATAAACTATTATCCTTTTTTTTATTTATGATTATATATATAATAAGCCAATATAATTATGTTAAATATGCTTGAATAAAGTTTTCATCGGAAGAGTTCTAAATTCAAGAAATATCAATAAACGAAAAGAAGTAGTATACATAGAAAGGGGTTTCGATTTTTAGTATTAACATTGATAAATAATGTTTTCTCTTATAAGACCAACTTCTTTATATTCCAATATGATTAGATTTAATGCTATTGTGTAAGACTTTCATTGGAAGATGGTTCCAATGAATAGGTTGATGCAAGAAACGAAAGAAATCGTACGGATAGGAAGTAAGTGGGGTCTATTAGAAGTATTTGCAACAGAAAAATACTATCGAACAAAAAATTAAGAAACTAAAATTGCTTCAATATAATCTAGGAAATTCTAAAAATCAACTAAACTAATAGCTTTTTAATAATCTATAACTTTATAATCTAGAGGTTATATGTATAGTTTACTATATTCAGAATATTTTATTATATTAGTCAGTTATCGCATTTGTAAGAAATCACAAGTTCAGTCCTTTTGTGGCATTGGGTAAAATCTACGTAATCCTCAAAATCACATAATCACATAAATTTTATATAACTTATTATAACACATAGTAGTCATTTATCTCATAAGTATAAAATTTCTAACAGTCTTCTTTTGTGTTTGGGTATAATCTAGGGAATCTCGGGAATATCAGATAAACAAATATATTGTATATATTGTTTTTGTTCTCGAGATAATGGGATCAAAGAAGTTTATTATTTCTTGCCGATATCTAA